AGTTAGTTGACAGTTGTCAAATGTCATACAATCGTTAAAATAAAGTGCGTTTCTAAATGTGAAAATTATTTTATTATCTTAATACAAAAATACAAAAATATTAAATAGTTTCTTAACGCCAATATTTGAAAAGTTTATACTGACCTTTTAATTTCGCCGGCAGTAAACGATAACTTAAATTCGGGCACGGACTCTACTGTAAAGACCTCATAAAACATTTCCTTTACTTTCACTGTGAAAAACTGTCAATTTCAAGATATATTTCGATTTATAACCTTTATAATTGTGTTTATAAAATGTAAAAATGTGACATTTGACAGTTTCCCCTGTTGTTTCATAGATGGCTCTCTATACAAGTTTTTGATTTAAATCATTTTAAGATAATAATATGTATTTGTCGTAGAAAAAGTATAGTATGCACCTCGTTTATAAACTTTTCTATACACTCATTAACTTAAGCTAAACTAAATTAAATTCGTGTATAAAATGGCGTTTATTAAACTTGATACATAATATACTATTATGACATCAAATAAACTTTCTATATCATAATTATCATATCATATAATATTACATCATATCTTGTTTACAAAGAATGTAAAATTTAAGAAAAAAATTGTTACCGATATACGACCCATTAGTGAAATAAAGGTAATGTTTTCGATTGTATAAATACCGCCACATAATAAAAGTTTGTACTTATTCTGCAGAAGCTACCTTGTAGCGAAACAATTGTTATTTTTTGTTGGATTTTATTTAATTTAATAGGTTTTTGCGTATTTATGTGAATGGTCACTTTCTTCATCCCTTTTTTTATATACGATAACTCCTTCTCATCCCTGCTTTCCAGTGCAGTAATTAGCGTGCCATAAGAATCCGGCAGACTACTTAATAGCATAGCAATAACTAACTGATTATTTAGCACCTCCCCCATGGATGACAATTTTTCCACCAAATCCATTATTAGGTTTATATGGAGTTTCATTTTACCGCCTTCTAGAGTTAATCTGCATATCCGCTTTAACAAGAAAACTTTGGTGGATAGCGATCTCTTCTGGTGGATGTCCCTTAACGAATTCCAAGCGTCGAGAGCACTTTTTGCTTGTCTAATGTGGACTTCGACAAGGAGTCCGATTGCTGCTCAAGCTTGATCATCCTTTCTAATCTAGGCTTCGTCTGGAACACTTGGCCTTGGCTCAGCGATCACGTCCCATATCCCCTCACTGATCAGCAAAAATTCGACCTTATACTTCAAAATTTGATCATTGGAACTGTTCAATTTCGCGATACCGTATAAAAAACGCGAACCGCCCGACATCTTCGAACCTTGATTGTTCTCTCACTTTTTTTGCAGCTTCCTCCGAACTCACTCACATTGATTAACTGGGCCCATAACCTGTTGGATTTTATTTATTTTTTTTATTTTTATTTTATCACTTTAATAGGTTTTTGCGTAATTATGTGAATGGTCAATAAAAAGCACAATTGTATTTAAGAACGAGATAACTAAGTAGGTACACTTTATTGATAAGTAGGTAACAAATAACTTTTAGAGATAAATACGAAAAACATCTGTGACGACTATATTTCGCTGAGGGTGGTTTCGGACTGACTCGTAGTATATGTAAAGTCAAGGGTGCGAATGCCATAAAAGTTTCACTCGCTTGCCATGTGGTTTATTTCCTATTTTATAAACGTTGGGTATTGTTGTTGCACAATATTCATATATTAAAGGAATATTGTGTTGGTGTGGACATTTAGTAAAAAGTGCCGGGACTTATCAGCTTATGCAATACAGTGTCAATAAATAAATTTATAAAAAATTCTATTATGTATTTGTTTACTTTAAATCGTTTTTAATATCTATGACCTTAAAATTGTGTTGGATTCTATAATTAATAAAAATTTATAACAATGAATAGATGAAGTGTAAATCCAAAAACTATGAGTGCACTCGACATCATAAATCATAGTTTAAATACTAACGTGGCGTCATTCAAACTAAGCACCAAGCGCAAACCCGAGACTTTAACCTCGTTGAACGTAATTGATGATGGACGGGAATTTGGCTTATTACAGTTTCTGTTGCTGCATACATTTGGCATATTAATAATTGTATCCTGCTGTCCTGCTGCCTCGGATTGCCACATACCTTCTTATGATGCACACTAGCTTTAGTTATGGCTTGGCTAAAGGGTGCTTGTACTACAAGCCTTGTAGTATTGTTGGCCCGCAATGCGATACAGTTTAACTCCCTAAACGTTATCCATCCTTGATGAATGTGCCACAATTCGGACTTGATAGAATTTGGTTGATTCTCGTTAATAAACGGTCCTCGTTGCCAACTTCTCACAATAAAACGTTTGTTGAAGTATGACATTGTTTAGTAGTGGCCGTATGCACAAAACTTTTTTGTTCGTTGTTTATTTAAATCAAAATCTTAAGACATGCCATTTAATAGTATATATGGGGTATTCCATGCCAAATCGACCACTTTTGAACCCGACCCCTTTCGATTTGGCCAAAAGTTTTCCATTCTTTTCTACCATTTGAAAAACATTTTTGAAAATTTTTTCATATTTTTTTATCCAACCCCAAAAAAGATTTAAAATTTTCAAGAAAATATTTTTTTTATTTTCAAATAGCCATAACTTTTTCAAAAATTGACCTTTTGGTATCTTTTTTGAAATTTTTGTTTTTGAATGAGTTTTTCGAAAAAATAGACAAAAAAAATTAACATGATCGTTACTTTTGCGAAGTTCGCCATTTTTTATTTTTTTTCTCAAAACAACAATTATTCCCGCCAATTCCAGAGTGGGCCGATTTTTTTTTCTATTATTTTTTTATTTATTTAAATAAAAATTGTCTAATTTTCAAAAATGCATTTTTTGTTTTTTTCACAAACTTTATTCATATAATAAAATAAATAAAATTCAACGATTTTAAGGTATTATATTCTCAATTTATAGGCTTTCGATTATATGATTTTAAAAATATTGCAAAAAATATTTATTAATTTCCTCTCTGGCGTTTAAATATTTTACAAATTCTGTGTTCATTCGCGCGTCTGGGGTGTTTTGTTTTAGTCCAGCTTAGATTTGAATAGACTTTAGCGTATCATCTAGTAAACTGACTATAGGTAAGTCTATAATTATTATACCCTATAGGGTATAGTTTATACCCTATAGGGTATAGTTTATACCCTATAGGGTATAGTTTATACTATATATAGTATAAACTATAACTATAGTTTATCGATCTAATTGATATATTTAAATTTGAATCTTAGTCATTACAGTCGTAGCTTAAGCCTATAAATTGAGAATATAATATCTAAAAATCGTTAAATTGCATTTATTTTATTATATACGTAAATAAAGTTTGTGAAAAAAAAATAAAATTTATTTTTGAAAATTAGAGAATTTTTTTCAATTAAATAAAAAGAATAGAAAAAAAATCGGCCCACTCTGGGATTGGCGGGAATAATTGTAACATTATTTGAAGTTTTTTTGAAAAAAAATAATAAAAAATGGCGAACTTCGCAAAAATAACCATTTTATTTAAAAAAAAGCGATAATTTCATAGAGTTGATCATGTTAAATTTATTTTGTGTATTTTTTCGAAAAATTCATTTAAAAACAAAAATTTCAAAAAAAAACATACCAAAAGGACAATTTTTGAAAAATAAAAAACCAATTTTTTTGAAAAATTTAAAACTTTTTTGGGGTTAGATAAAATTCTCAAAATTGTTTTTCAAAGGGTAGAAAAGAATGGAAATTTTTTGGCCAGATCTAAAGGGGTCGGGTTCAACAGTGGTCGATTTGGCATGGAATACCCCATATGTACCTTGTACTTTTGATAAACGCCATTTCAGACACGAATTTAGTTTAATTAAACTCGTGTCTAGAAAAGATTATAAACGATTTGCATACTACACTTTTTCCACGAAAAATATTTATTATTATCTAAAAATGATTTAAATTAAATATTTGTATAGAGCGAGGTTTTATTGGCACTCCACCTAAAATTAAGTTAAATCTAGTTTACTGCCGGCGAAAAGGTCAGTACAATGTTTATATAAACTTTTTAAATATTGTCGTTGAGAAACTATTTAACACATTTGTATTTTTGTATTGAGATAATAAAATAATTTTTACATTTTATATTATTTCACAAGAAGGGTACTTTATTTTCACGATTGTATGACATTCGACAACTGTCAACTAACTTAAAACTAACTTCAGTCCATTGCCAAGTTTAGCCCGTGACTAAAACGCCATAAGGCCACAACTTGTCAATGTGTATTTAAAAGGTCACTTAGTGTCATGGAAACATGTACGATAATTGGCGTTTTAAAGGTGGGAGTAGATAAAACAATAAATATATCGTGCTTACGAAAAGTTTTCTGGTAGGCTTATACTTAAGTTGTTATTTAAATTTTAAGATTTTTATCACAATATTTCTGTATAATTATATTTTTATGGGAGCCTCGTGTAAAAATAAAACATATAATTCCATTCTATTCAAGGATAATTAAGATACGCAAAAATACCACTATAAGTTTAATTAAATTATTAAAATGTATTAAGTGTACTTGTATACTTAATACTTCAATTAAAAATTCAGTAAATAAGTTTTGGGAAACTGTTTTTTATAATAATTATCCTCTGGACGAAAAAAACTGCACAGGTTTTGCAAAAGCAACTTGTTATATTGTAGATAAGCTGCCGGTAACAACATTTTAAAATTACAATAAAGACAAAAAGATAAAATGAAGTAAATGCTCATTTGCAACCAATTATTTAATTGTTTTTTATTGTGATTAACTTTTATAAATTAATTTAATTTGATACATAATTATTCAGGTTATTACCTAAAATAAAAACGTATATGGAAGAGATTTATCTTAATGGATTTTGATTATAAGTTATGAGGCATGAATCAGATCGTGTTTCCTGTAGCCTGGTTTTAAATGGTGTTTTCATTTGACGACAAACGATCGTTTGAGTAATGTTTTATAAGTAAAGTGCGTCCATTAATTTATCTAACTTATAAACGCTATCTTTATCATTATCAACTTGTATATATATGGAATTTAAAGTATAAGTGCGTTTTCTTACTTATAAACATGAAGCCTATAGCTCTTTTTGTGATATTACTTATAAGCAATGGTAAGTACCTACTAACACACTTTTTAGTCTTAATTTAATTTTAAGAAACTGTCCATTCTAAAACTAGTTTAGAAGCTTTATAAGATTTTTAAAACACATTTCGTCTCTTTATACACTGGTATATGTATAAAGGGTTTACCTTTAAGGGCGTCATAACTTTGAAAGTAGACGAAACGACTTTGGTTCGAGGGAAACAATTCAAATGGTTTTATTTATAATTAAATTTGATAAAATTTATGATTTAAACAAAACACACAGTGAAACAAATGTAAAAAAGAGAGAACAAATTCGCACAGTGGTTTAAAAGTAAAAAAAAATGTGGGAAAATAGTGGGACAAATATTAAAAATTTTAAAATTTCCAAATTTTGCTATATTTCCAAAATATTTAAAACTTGTTCAAATATTTAAATTTAAAGGCGCAAGATGCATAGCTTCTGTCGTGCGTCCACTTACCAAAACACCTGTTTTTTTTTATTAATAAAGCCATTAAAATTTAAAAAAAAGGAGTCAACAGAACATTTTCTGTACAAAGTATTCTTCGAGGATAGAACAAAACTCTAATTTCAATAATAACTTTGAAGAATTTCTAAATATTGTGTAAAATGATCCATAGAGATACTTTAAACCTAAATGAGCACAAAAGACAACAAATGTCGAAAAACTATTTTTGCTATGAGTTGTAAAATTTGGACAGTGCTACTTGTTACTAAAATCACGATACAAAAATAGCGAAATTTAGTTATAAACAAAAAATCTTAATTTTAAACCATATTCTTTTAGTGTTCAGTGAAGAATGTAGTCAGTTAAACACCAAATATGGCCATGTTTGTGTATGCAACTCAACCTACTGTGATACAGTTCCCGAATTAAATGTATCAGCCGGAAAGTACCAAATTTATACAACTAGTATAGGACACTTAGGTTTTACATCAACAATTGGTGAACTACAAGTAAGTTATATACAAATAAATCTTAAAATTAAGAGTGAATATAAATATTTTTTAGAAATCAACCAATGAGGTATCAGAACACAAAATTAATCTGGTAAAGGTATCTACAAAACAAAAAGTTCTTGGTTTTGGTGGTGCTTTCACTGGATCCACTGGAGTTAACATAAAATCTTTACCAGAAGCTGCCCAAGAAAAGTTATTAAAGAGTTATTTTGGCGAAACTGGTATCCAGTATAATCTATGCAGAGTACCAATTGGAGGTACAGATTTTTCCACAAAGTTTTATACTTATGACGATAACCAGAAGGGTGATGTTAAATTGGAACACTTTGCACTTGACGAGGAAGATACAATCTTTAAAGTAATATTAATATATTATTGTTCCCTGTCTATTATCGTTTTTTTACCAAACAGTTTAAACTGTGGAACATTTAAGATCTTATAATTGTTTTTTTTTTAATTTTTATTTTTTCATCAGAAGAAGGTATCAAGTAATGGATGTAATAAACAATTGTAGAAACTTATATTTAAACACAATTTTTGGTAATTTTTTTATATCATGGCTCTTTTATTATAATATATTTTTAGATACCATTTATTAAAAAAGCTATGAACTTAACAAATAACTCTCTAAAATTATTTGCCACCGCCTGGACTGCCCCACCATGGATGAAGACCAATAACGATTACACCGGAGTTGGCTTATTAAAGTTTAAATATTACCAGACATGGGCCGATTACTACATTAAATTTTTTGAGGAATACAGCAAAAACGGAGTTAATTTTTGGGGGGTTACCACTCAAAATGAACCCACCGATGGGTTCTTACCAAAATTTTTATCGAAGATTAATTCTATGGGATTTACACCAAAACTAATGGTATGTAGACAGGTTAATGTAAAAAACATTCAAAATCATTTATTTTTCCAAATCTGAGCAGAAATAGAACAACTCAATTAAAACGTGTATTCTTATAATTTATAAATATTTTAGAATATATGTATTTTTGTATATATTTTAGAATAAATGGATTGCAAAACATCTTGGACCAACAATAAGAAACTCTACATTTAAAGATTTGAAAATCATTGTGCATGATGATAGCAGGCAAACTTTACCTCTTTTGCCTTTGGTACAATAATTTACTATGCAATCACTTAAATTTTGTATTGCTATTACATTTTAGACCATAGAAAATGAAGATGTTATTCAATTTATTGATGGAGTAGGTGTTCATTGGTACTTGGATGATTTATTACCGACCAGTTGGTTAAAATACACGAAATCCAGTAAAAAGGAATTATTTCTTCTTGGTACTGAAGCTTGTAATGGTAAAAATATAATTCATAAAAATATTGTTAAATAATTTGCATAATTTTTTAAGGATATCGCCATATTAATTCAAAATCTGTAGAGTTGGGAAGCTGGCATAGGGCTGAAAATTATATTAAAAATATTTTAACAGTAAGTTTTAAGTAAACAAACTAGCTTTAAGGTTTTTACTCTTATTTTATTAAGGATTTTGAGTACGGTTCCATTGGTTGGGTGGATTGGAATATGGTTTTGGACCAAGAAGGGGGACCCTGCGTCATAAATAATAAAGTAGATTCTCCAATAATAACGAACAATACTACAGGAGAATTTTATAAACAACCCATGTTCTATGCCATGGGTCATTTTTCAAAATTCATTATCCCTAAATCTGTAGTTATGGATGTTCAAAATGAATATTCATCCAAAGTAAAAAGTCTTACAGTGTTAAGACCTGATAACATAACTGCAGCTGTAATTTTTAATGAGTATGAAATAAAACTTTATTTGATTTATTGTACCTATTATGTTTAATTTTTTAGACACTTGCTTCACACTAAGATAGAAATATTAACAAAAGAAGGCCTTCTTATTAATACAATAGTGCCTGGAAGATCTATCAACACTATTTTATTTTAAAAATAAGAAATATTTATATTATTATTTTAATTTATTCAAAATATAAATTTAGCGAAAAGAACTTTTTTTATATAACAACCATTTCGTTTTTTAACTACCACCCACAAATAGCATTTCTCCCACGCGTAGAGCTTAAAGAATCTCCTCTTTCTCCCACTAGTAACACAATATACTATTGATGTATAGTTTTTCATGCCCATATAGTAGGTAAGTATACTACCTCAATTATCAATAATTTTAAAGAAAATATCCAAATGTTCTATTTGACAATAAAAATTAATCGACCAAAGCATTTTTTTATTTTATTTTTTAGCAAAGTTATTGTCAAATAAAATGTTTGGTAACTTATTAAACAAAATCTGGTTATTCTTAAACCTATAAATCGATTTTGATGAAACTTTATAATATCGAAAGTAATAAAATTGACTTTGAAAAATTGTTTTATTGTTTTGTTTTATTTTTTATAATTATTTATCAAACTTTATAAAAACAATTAAATTTTTGTCGTCTTCTGGACCTTTTAAAAATCTCAAAAATATTTTTCTTGTGACCGTTTTTACCTAATAAAAAAATTATCAATTGACACCAATGTGTGTGCACCATTAAATAATGAACTTGATAGATATTTTATCTAGAAAACATTTTGTTTAGTAAAACGTTTTTTTTTTGTTTAATCATCCTAGGATTAAGTAATAAAGATCTTAAAAACGTGCAAGCCGTAAGGTGTTGTGCACACTCGTATATCATGCTGCGCAGAATTATTTTAAGGTATACCTTATTATAATTGCCGCTCGGATTTTTTCTCGACGGATTAAGATTCTTTAAGATTTGTTTGAAAAGTGAAATTTTTAAAAGGTCCAGAACACCAAACAAATTAATTGGTAGTAAAAAATTTGATAAATTTTTATAAAAAATTAATTTGTTGGAAATTTTACAACAATTTTCCATTTATTTACCTTAGATATGCCAAAGTTTTATAAAAATCGATTTATCTTAGATATGCCAAAGTTTCATAAAAATCGATTTATCTTATACATAGTATATCGCCAAAGGTGGACTAGTGGTTAGTGCTGCTGACTACAAGCCGGAGGTCGTGGGTTCGAATCCCACCAGGGGTATGGCTGTTTATTTGTGTTTGTCCCATTGTGTAATAGTCCTTCGGAGGGGACTTTAAGCCCGCGGTCCGTCTCTACCCCTAAACCGCACAAGCCATTTAGTTAGCTTCTGGGACTTCTTAGGAAGTAAGGATGGAACTAAAAGAGCACTTTTGTATATAGTAATGAAATGCATATGTATAACACCAAAACTGTGGGACACAATTCACTTGTGTCAGTGTTGTCGCAAACATTTTGTAGTCACCTATATTTAACTACTTTTTTATATGATTTTACTCACCACCAAAGCCAAATTAATTGAATTTTTAACTACGAATTTTTACAACTCATTTTGACAACCATTCAATGTAACCTACAATAATTTAAACATTACATTATAATTACATTTATTACTAGTTTAGTTTGTTTTAATCAATGCAACCAATTATGGTTCCGTATTTACCAACCAAACACCTAAATTTGCAACGTTGCCGCAGTCCTGATAAAAAAATGAACTTTAACTGTTTTTTTAACCCACTTACCCCTAACGTCCTTATATTAGCTTGGCTACAACGCGTTTTTTTCACAAAGTTGTTATCTCATTCAATTTTAAAATTTGATGACAGCCATAAAAACTGTAAATATTTTACCATTGCGATTCCGAAAACTTAAACAGACTAGTATTTCGAAAGAAAAGAAATGAAACATTTACCAAGCTTCCAAAATTCTGGAAAAATTGAGCAAATTTTATCAAAGAAATCATTAATTTTACAAATGACCCAACCTCTAATTTAAAGAGAACCTCACACCGCAGAAAATTAAAGAATGCGCTGGTCTGCAAAGCACGCAACACACACCAAAAGTTACCGGGTAACAAGAATCTATATAGTTTGGGCTACCGTACGTGAATTTATATTACATAAAATTTTATAGACTAGCAGATCCAAATCGGTGAAGTAATGTTCAACATTGGTCCCGTTTAAAAAATAATTACTCATAGTTTATTATTATTTACCCACACTTACTTTATGAGAACACAGTAATATTACAATATCGGGACGATCCTAATAAAAAATGTGAGTATTTACATTTACGTTGACCTCAAACGAGCCCTATTTGAAAAAAACTTATCTGCATTAGCTGTAATTTATATATAGGAATCTGAGAGAATGAACCGTATGAATTGTACAATTTTCTGGTTTAAATAAAGAATTACTTTTAAAAATATGCTTTTTAAACCTGCACACATGTGTTTCGATCTTAACTCACCTTGAAATCCTGATAAACATAGATATATGGTACAACTTTGTAGATAACCCTTTTTTTGGGATCAGGATTTATCCAAAATTGTTGAATTTAATACAATTAAGTAGGTAACTACTTTTTTATACTCCCACCTTTAAAACGCCCATTATCGTACATGTTTCCATGACACTAAATGACATTTTAAATACACATTGACAAGTTATAGCTTTACGGCGTTTTAGTCACGAGCTGAAGTTTTTAGTCATGGGCTGCTTTAAATTAGTTGACAGTTGTCAAATGTCATACAATCGGTAAAATAAAGTGCCCTTCTCCTAAAATAATACTAAGAGGCCTATTCCCTTTCTTTCTGTTCATAAACATCAATTTCTTAACATGTATGTTCACCTAACGACCACCCAAAACATCAAATTTGTTTAAGGCTATTCCGTTTCTCATATGTTGAAAGTCTTGACCTTGAATCTTTCTGAACAGCGATAAATGTTTCTAGGACAGAGAGTATCTTAGTTTTATAAACTTAAAGTTGCAGATTGTAAACTAAAATTGTGTTAGAAATTATTTTAAAAATCATTGGTGAAATTTAATATATTAAATGAACTAAAAAAAACTTAAGAAGATACAAAAATTCTAAAAATACTTGGAAAAACGTTTTATGCTGAACTAGCCAAAGCACAGATCTTCTTGCGGGGCCATCCTTAAATAGAAAAGGGTTATCATAAAATATCTTAAAATAATTATTTGTTACTTATTTTACACACTTTTAGTGACTTGCAGGCCCATGTATTGAAAATAACAAGAAAACTGCGCATTTCTCACATGGAGACTCGCAATGTGGGGAAGCCAGTAAAACAGAGGTTTTAAAAGGTATTGATAAAACCTAAAAGATTTTAAAATTAAACCAAAAAGTTTTACCTCCCATTTGAAGAAAAAATGTTAAAAGAGTTTTTAAATGCATATTTTTTGTATTATATTAGTTATAGGTACTTTTGTCCCCCAAATTCACACTTCACATTCAGATTTTTTTTCTAAATAAATATTTATTATTATTATTATTATAAAATTAATATTAATTATATTAAAAAATTCAGTAAAGCAAAATTTTTATTCTGGTATTATAAATAAGAAATACATTTTAATAATTACAAAAATAAATCATAAAAATATTTTTAAAATTACCAAAAAATATATTTTTATTTGTTTGGTGTGAAACCTTATATGCAACTTCCTTATTCTCATTTATAAATAATTATTTATAATTTATAATAATAATTAATTATGTATTAATTAATTCATAGTTACAATGCTTGATAATGATACTGTACTGTAGACTGTACCAAACATGGCCGCAATTTATAAATAATGCAAGATAAAAAAATTCAAATATTGGCTAATAGCACCTCCCAGTCAAGCGTTCGTGAACATACGTTTTCAAACATCATGTATGTTCACCAAACAGCGAAACGGAATAGCCATTTATACACCGATGATGTTTATTAGGGTGGGCCGAAAATCCGCTTTTTTAGAATTTCGTTTAGTAATAGCAAAAATTTTGTTCATTATGCTGTAAAAAAAATTTGTGTAAAAGATTAAAATTTTCGATGAACATCCTAGGCTCGCCCAACGCAATTAAAGATCAAAATGTTCAAAAAAACTTTTTCTTAACTTATTTTGTTTGGAAATTTTATGCTCTACAAATAAGGTCCTTACACAAAATTACTTCAGATGGATATTTTCAGAAATTTGTTCATTATGTAAAAAAAAATTGTGTAAAAGATTAAAATTTTCGATCAACATCCTAGGCTCGCCCAACGCAATTAAAGATCAAAATGTTAAAAAACAATTTTTCTTAACTTATTTCGATCGGAAATTTTATGCTCTACAAAAAAGGTCCTTACACAAAATTACTTCAGATGGATAGTTTCAGAAATAAACCCGATTTTAGTATCAACATTTTTTTGAACATTTTGATCTTTAATTGCGTTGGGCGAGCCTAGGATGTTGATCGAAAATTTTAATCTTTTACACAATTTTTTTTTACAACATAATAAACAAAATTTTTGCTATTACTAAACGAAATTCTAAAAAAGCGGATTTTCGGCCCACCCTAATGTTTATAAACATGGATGTTCAAGAAATTTTAGCGCATGCCTCTATAGATGAAATAATTGAAAGGGAATTATTCCCTATTATATACACAGAGAAAAGTAATCTCTTGATTTTACTATATCTGTCTTGACTCAAATAAATTATTTATTTCGATATGATACAAGAAGATATTTATTTAGTGGAAAACTTGGGTTTATTTGACTTTTTAAACTGATGGTTTGTTTAATACAAGTAAATATTTAGACTTTTTATCTCAGGTTTAGTAGAATCTTACTTAAAGAAACAAAACATTTACTTGAAGTAAGTAATTCATTTTTTTAAATTAAATGTGAAGCTTTCTTAAAGAAACAAAATATTTACTTACATGAAGAAAACAATTTATTCCAGACAAATAATTAGTACCTTTTAATATTATAATTTCACGAAATATATAGTGATTGAACCAAACAAATGTTTGCTTGTTTTAATACTATGATTTATTTATTTTAATGTTGTTAATTACTTGATATTTGGTCGGGAAAATTAAATTAAAAAACGTTTATTCCAATATTTTTTATTTGAACAAAACAAGTGTACAC